CACGCCGGAAATTTTATCGGAAATCACAGGTAAAGCCAATGGAGACGTACTGAGGGTTCGGCTATAAATAACTGGTTTGAAAAAACTTCTTTTCACACTTTTTGTTTAATCAAATAAAATTGAGAATGGAAATGAGGAATGTGTCAAAGAGACAACAACCCGACCATAGAGCAGACAAAAAATACGTTTATATAGATGTTAAGTGATAACATGTTACGTGTGTTTTAGTTAACCACTTATTGGGATATATAATGTTTGCTACATATTAAAATATTTATTTAATACGCCAAAAGGAACGATAAAAGTAGGATTATAGATAACAAACATTTTCTTATTTAACGTGTAGAATTTTATTTTTCGTTTACTTGTAACAGTAAAAAGTAATTAAAAGAGAGAAGAATTTTAATGTTTTTGAATTTTCTAATTCTTTGGTGAAGCCGCATATATTGCAATAGTTGTGATAAGGTGAAATAGTCATTAACAATATTTCACCATAAGAGGGGCGAAAGATACCAGAGGGACATTCAAACTCATAGACAACGCCATTGGTAAAAAAGAAAAAGACAAACAGACAAATAATAGTACACAAGACACAACATAGAAAACTAAAGACTAAGCAACACACAATTCTTCCCAACAAAGATAATACATAGACTCGAATAAAGATGTCAAAGAAATTATTCGATGGGTACTTTATAGGACGTTTTGTGATTTTGTTATGTTATAGGTTGTTGTCTAAATTTTATTTATCAAAATTCGCTTTCATTCTTAACTGTTTTCCGTTCTGAAAGGCCAGAAAAAATATAGATATCTTTATCAAGAACACTCAATTAAACCCATATCCAAAGATATACAAAGATTCTGAAAGGTAGCCAAAACAAATAAATCTGATAACATAGACGATACTTTGACAGAAACTGTTGGATGTATATTACATAATAAGTGACCAGATAAATAAACATAAATTGAATCCAAGGTCATTTTTTAAAAATTTCACTTAGAAAAATCGTTCAAACATTGATAATGTATTCAAACTGTCAAAGTGAATAAAATATTTTGAATGGTGTCTTTTGTTCTTTTGTTCGGTTAGGTATAATTTTTAATTTAGATCGTTGTTGAATTGTAAATAGATATAAGAAGAAGTGGTATGAGTGCCAATGAGACAACTCTCCATCCAAATCAAAATTTACAAATGTAAACCATTATAGGTCAAAGTACGGTCTTCAACACGGAGCCTTGGCTCACACCGAACAGCAAGCTATAAAGGGCCCCAAAATTACTAGTGTAAAACCGTTCAAACGAGAAAACCAACGGTCTAATCTATAGAAAAAACGAGAAACGAGAAACACTTATGAACCACAACATCAAACGACAACTACTGAACATCAGATTCCTGACTTAGGACAGGTGCAAACAATTGCAGCGGGTTTAAACGTTTAAATGGTACCAAACCTTCACCCTTTTTCTGAAACAATAGTGTAACATCACAACATAGAAAGAAGACAGCATTGTTTGCGATCAATTGAATCTCAATTTCAAAAGATCAGAATACGTCACCAGTGCGATCTATTATTCGTAACCAGAACGAAAACTTGATATGTTCGAAGTAAGGCCAATGATTTAAAGTAAACTACAAAATGAGTCAGAATACATATTGATAAAGAATACAGAAAAAAAACGTGCACATTGTTCAAGTACAAATTTAAGGTAGTTTAGAAAAATGTTAAATCACAAAAAATACTGAACACCGAGCAAAATTCAAAACGGAAAGTCCCTAGAGTTATAAGTTAAAATATTCTTGTCCACAGATTTCCGAACATGAGAGTTAAACATAATTGTGACAAGTTTTGATAAATTCAACCTAATTGAAATACAGAGCATTTTTCAATGATTGTCTGTCTCGAATTCTCGTATTTGTTTTGTTTTTTTATTGTTTTGATATAAATCACACGTTATAAGCTTCTTCTCTAATGAGAAAGATAAATATTCTAAATATACTTACTGGAAGTGTGATGAGATGATTGAAGCAGCTCATTCTCTTCTCCTCAATATTTTGATGTACATTTCAGCAATAAAGTTTATCGACAGGTTGTAGGTATTCCTATGGATACCAGTTGTTTTTCTTTAATACCAGACTTATTCTTGAACTGTGAATCACAGCTTATGACCAAACTCAGTAAAGCACCGTCTTATTTTTAACACAAAAGAACTTACTTTAAATAAATCAAGTATATACGGTAATAACTGTCCTTTCTTAATACACTTGATACACCAGTCTTACATGGAAAACTCAACACAAAAATCTACGAAAGAAAAGGATTATTTTATTAACCCCATTGATAATTTTCCTTTTTTTGGATTCTGATGTTCCTTTGGCACCATCTTTCGGTGTTTATATATCACAACTCGTTCGCTATGTCCTCGTCGGTTGTGACATTTTAGATTGCAATGAACGTAATTTATGTATTACTGGAAAATCATTATGTTGGGGATTTCGTTACCACAAATTACTTAAAACCTTTACCTCATTATTCAATAAATACAGAGATTTGGTTTGGAAGTTTGTTTTTCCTGCAGAAAACTAATTTCAAACAGAATAGCACATCTTTATTTTTAGGGAGATGTTGTTTTTCAAGCCCAGAAATTTAGATACGATCCGGGTTAAATCATCCTCTAGATAAACTTATTCTAAAAGGTTACCCATTCGACACTGTAATTGGATCTTTGAATATTGTTTGTTTGTTTGGTATTGGTATTGATTTTATTATCAGTAAATTAAAATCAAACTAAATATTATTTTTATATACATATGCACATTCATGGCTCTACAACCTGTCAATACCGGTAGTTTGGCACAAGGTCATGTATTGTCTGACTGTTAATGCCGTCTTTACACTAAATCCATCGGATGTTTGATGAGTACTAATTGACATTCTAGTCTTAGATACATGTGTTTTTACCAGTTGTTATCAGCATTGAAGGAACTAGTTGTCAGTAACTGCGAGTACTCTCAGATCTGTACTGTTTTGTTGTGGGAATGTAAAAATACCCTGCCACGTCCGGTCTGTTTTTTTTAGTTGTATTTTTGCTTTGTATCTATCTGATGAGTTAAGCCCTTTTTAACTATTTTTTTATAGTTTTATTTTATGTTGTCCTGTTATAGCACATTCCGAGTTTGGAGTTAGGGTTGGCGCCGTCACACTAGTTTAACCCGCCACATTCTATATGTTCCTGTCCCAAGTAAGAAGCCTGTAATTCAGTGGTTGTCGATTGTTGCTGTATATTATATATGTTTTTCGTTCATTATGTTGTACATACATTAGGCCGTGAGTTTTCTCGTTTGAATTGTTTTACATTTGTCATTTCAGGGCATTTTATTGCTGACAATGCGGTATGGGATTTGCTCATTGTTGTACAATGACCTATAGTTGTTAACTTCTTTGTCATTTGGTCTCTTGTGTAGAGTTGTCAAATTGACAATCATACTACATTTTTTATCTTTTGTCATGCAGGTGTTTTTGATAGCTTACTATATACTGTGTAAAATTAGGTCATCACTAATGACCGAACATCGTCCTATAGGAGAAAAGTAGTATTATATTTTCCCGGCTTTAGGTTGGCCTCTCGTGCACCAAAGGCAATTGGAGGAAGTTAACTAAGGAGCGCCGTAACTGGATGTAATGGTATAATTGTATTTGTTTATTTCTGTATGAATAACTGGAGAGTCTTTATTAATAATATAAATTTTGAAACACATAAAAATATTTTCTTGAGAATTATTCGAAAAGACTTTCAAATTTTCATAAATTTAATGTAAAATGAAGGTTGGCATGTTTATCATAAACAAGCTCCGTTCTAAGATTGTTATTATATCATTTGACCACAGCAGAATAATAAACTAGATTTGCCATTGCAAGTAATAGCGGATGCAACCCTCGTCTCCCTATTGCCATGCTAAAGACAGCGATTTTGAAAATTTCAAATTCAAACAGTGAATCTACTCATGCAGGTTAACAGTTTTGTAAAGTTTCATTTAGTTTGGAGCATTATGAAATTTTTAATATTTCTGATGTTTCCATGTTAACGGCGGCCACTTTGAAAATTCTAAAGTCAAACTGCAACTCTACACATGCCAGTTACTATTTATAAAAAGTTTCGTTCAGTTTAAAACACTTTCCATTTTTTCGGATTTTTGCTGTTTCCATTGCAACGGCAGCCATCTTGAAAGTGCCAACCCAAAATTGCAAATCTTCACATGTTGGTTAACATTATTGTATAGTTCCATCAACTTTGGTCTATTATATACCGAAATCCTCAAAAAAATGTGGAAGAAAAATAGTAAAAAAAAAAAAAAAAAAAAGAAATAAAATAATAACTTATATCACACATAACTTTTTTGTCCAGCTTTTTTTATAAAAAAGTGATATATTTAGAAAAGGTTAGTATAGTCGCCTATGGAAGAATAAATACTATCGTTTTCCTTGTAGATGCCTGCATACACGATCTAGTTAGAGTTTATTTTTTTTTATTTAGTTTGTAAGTTTATCGATCCAGTTTACACAAGAACAACCCCTTTCAAATGAAATAAATCCGATAACGAAACACTGTCCGCAATTTGACATCTTTAATACCGCAGTTAGAGATGTCAAATACATTATGTTAACAATAATATTGTAAACATGCACATGGTTGTTGTTTCTTTGACACATTCCCCATTTCCTTTCTCAATTTTACACAATTAAATTACATATTGATCAATTATCATTCCCTCTTATAGAAAACAATATTATGATCTATCAGAAAAAAAACTCAGTTTTTTTGAAATGTTAATACAATCAAGTTCTGCTTCAGTACTACCGTCATTATTATATTTAAATTTAGAATAACCTTAACCTAAATCTTAAATCTAACCTCGCTTTACTGAGAAAGTGTTTAATTCTTGTTAACAAATTTCGAAATTTTACTTAGAATATAAATGTATTTTCAGCCACAGATAATTTGTGATATCTGAATATGTGATATCAAATCACCTCTTTCTATTTTTCAGTTAAAACATACTGGACGGTTATTTATTACTTACAAAAAACACAAATGATTGCAAATGTTTCGTTTAAATGCCATCGTTTAAGTGATTATTCGAGGTTTGAAGAACATTTTGTACATAGTTAATTGAAACGAACCAGCACCATAGAAACCACTCACATCCGGTAGGTAATTTTTTTTATTTTTCAATAAGGAAAATTAATAAAAGCACAGTCATAAACAGAATTCTCAGAAGACAGTAAGACAGACTGAAACACATTAATAAAGTTAAACTTGATGAGTCTTTTGTAGACGAAACGCAACCTTTGTAAGCTGAGAGAATTTTAGAGTTAGCACATCGTATATAGACTATATATAAAAGAGGGACGAAAGATACCAGAGGGACAGTCAAACTCATAGATCGAAAACAAACCGACAACGCCATGGCCAAAAATAAAAAGACAAACAGACAAATAATAGTACAGATGACACAACATAGAAAACTAAAGACTAAGCAACACGAACACCAAAAACTGGGGGTGATCTCAGGTGCTCCGGAAGGGTAAGCAGATCCTGCTCCACATGTGGCACCCATCGTGTTGCTTATGTTATTACAAATCCGGTAAACAGTCTAATTCGGTAGGTCACATTCGTGAAAAGGGAAGGGTATTGTAGTTACAATATAAGGAACATATCCGATATCATCTGTGAAACGGTTATTCCATAACGGTCAACCAACTTGTGATGGCGTCCGTAAAATTTACGAAGGGATGATTCCAACTTCACCATTTGGAGCTCTTGGTTTAATAGCTTCCTTGTGAGCAGCAACCCTTTATCAAGGAAATCATGATAGGAAATACAAGCCCGGGAATATCGTATCAATTGGGAGATATATACTCCGTATGCAGGCGCTGCTGGAATGTTGCTACATAGAAATGGAAAGTTCACAATTGGGAAGCTGAAATCATCTCTTTTGTCGTAAAGTTTTGTTTTCAACCGACCCTCATTGTCAATTTCTAGATGTAAGTCAAGATATGAGGCAGACTTAACTGTATCTGTAGTATCCTTTATCTCTAGTTCGATGGGATAGATTCGTTCAACATAGTCACCAAATTGAGTATTATATATGCATGCAACCACTTGAAAATGAATTGTTCCGAAATTTAATATCCTTATCATTTATAATTATTTGATAATTAGAATAATTTTCAACATATTGTCGGATAGAATAATCTAATGGTACACTATGCGTTTCTGGTTTCATATCAACTTTTAATGCAAAAATAAATCATATTACTTAATTGTTATGTTTTCGAAAGAGTCCCATTGTTTCTTATTTGAGCAAATGTTCAAAGTATTATAATTTCACTTTGATTACACCTCAGAAAATCTGCCGTGTACCCATTTCCTATTAGCTGATAGTTTGAAATTTAACCACTCTCATTGCATGCATTGGACAAGGAGCACTTTAGACAAAACGTTCTGTGCTGGCACTTAGGGGAAGCATTTTATATTCATAATTTTAAATTGAAGCGGATAAGCAATTTGTTGTATATACCATACAACTACTTTATCTGTTTGCCAATAGCTTGAAATATCACAACACTCAATTTACGAAAATAATGTTCTAGTACTGAATTTACCAGGACACTTTTTTGTCAAATTTGTCTTGGCTTCTTTGTAAGATAATGATTTCATATTTGGTCTCCACCTTGATTATAATAAGTTGAAGCCGATAACAATTTGAGCATCTACAGTGGATCCACTTCATGTTTGGCGGCAGTGTTAACTTTTACAACACTCATTTTACAAGGAAAATGCTCGTCAAATTTGTACTGCTTTCTATTGAAGATAAATATTTAACATCTCGTTTGCAGCTTGATAATGATGAGTTTTAGAGTAAGACATTTAAATATTTGCAGTGCAGCCACGTTTTGGCTGCCGATCGATTGATCGATTGAAATTTTACACGTATTGTCTTTGGAAAACAAGTAGCGGTACTTGTCGATAAAATGTTAGAAAACGACAATCTATAAAAATGTATCATTTGAAGCTCTTTTCGGGAATTACCGACATCAGAAATGCTACAATTTGAAATAAAGGGATACATACTTGTTGAAACATGTTAACTGCTCTATGACATAGAGGGGCACAAACACATGATAGCCAAATCCATCTAAAGTAAACCAATCCTGATGGAATTGGAGCCTCTATTTCTTGATTAAGTGTTATCAACGTGCCATCAAGTAAAAACTGCTCTATCATTTTAATTACAGTTATCACTATAAAAAAAGTCGATTAAAGAACATTCACATAGACGATAGAAATTGAACAATTAGTCAAGACACAGAAATAATAAAAGGCTTCATCAAATAAGGATTGTTGGTAGAGTAGCAATCGAAATGAAATTTGCCCGAATTTGCAAGTTAGCAAATATCAGTCATATACAAATCTTCATTTGAAGATGTAAGATATCACTAAAATTCTCAATTCACTTGTACTTGACAAGTACAATCTTCTATAAAACACGGCAATGCAACATAAACATTGAATTTAAGGTTCTTCATTTTGAGCTGGCTTTGAATTTAAACCATCTGATAAATGTCATTAACACTGATACTATATACCTACAATAATAGTATGCAGTTTGCATGATACGGGTTATGTTCTTCTCATATCTTATGATGATATTCTACTAAACCCTAACGGGAGGTAAAGTGCTTGATTTTCATATGATGAAGAGATCATCTTTCAGTCAGTTTAATTGATGTCTTGAGCTGGCATGTCAGTAACTGCTAGTAGTCTTTGATAATGTATGTATCATTGTCATTTTGCCAAGTTTCTTCTGTTACCTATTCTGACATCGGACTTCTACTTCTTTTAAACTGAGTTTTACAGTGCATATTGCTGTTTGTTTGTTTTCTACATTGGAAAGAGGTATAGGGAGATGGTTTAGTTCTCACTTAACATGTTTAACTCCGCCGCATTTTTACGCCAGTCGTAAGTCAGGAGCTTCTGGCCTTTGTTAGTCTTGTATGTTTTTTTAATTTTAGTTCTTTTATATGTTTCGGAGTTAAGTGTGACGTCCGTTTTCACTGAACTAGTACACATTTGGGCTTAGGAGCCAGCTGAAGCCCGCCTCCGGGTGCGGTATTTTTTCGCTGTGTTGAAGACCCATTGGTGGCCTCGGGATGTTTTCTGCTCTTTGGTCAGGTTGTTGTCTCTTTGGCACATTCCCCATTTACATTCTCGATTTTATTATTTATATAAGTTTAAAAGAATATGCCTAATATAGTATAATGTAGTTAATAAATATATAAACGTTTTATGAAATCCTTTTTCTCAATGCTTTCAATGGTAAACCTTAACAATCCAGCATCATTTTCTCATGTATACAATGTACATGTTAACGTGCCAAATTTTGACTTTATTTAATTTATTTAAATTAAAAGTGAATCAAACTGTTTCAAAATAACATGAAATAGAGAATAAAGTTGAATACATAATCACTGGTGTTAAACTGATCATGGTAACTGCAGTTACTACGATTTCAATATGGTGGAGGTAGAAATAAGTAAAATCGTTTTCTGCTAATTTCTCTGTGTAAACGTGTTGTTTTCAAGAATTGCTCAGCCGCCAGGTTGATCTGTTCGGTTTTAGTGTGTGTGTGTGTGTTCTTCATAACATATATGGCCTCGTTACAAAAATAAAAGCCATCGAAAATTTTAGGAAGATAATCGTAACTTTAAAACATTTGTTTGATATGATAGTCGTAGCTGGACTATCAGATAGTCGTAATTTTTACATGATAATAGTAATTCATCAGTGCCTGTTGATTTGGACGGCGAATATATCTAAATATTGATCAAAAGTTTGATGTTACCAGAATTAGTGAATACATTGTTATCTTATATATAATAAACTAATTTACTTTTGCTTTGTAGATATATGTATAGATTATAACATGCCCTTTTCCATATTGGCCCTGGTATCATCCCGAGACTCCCATATCGGCCTCGAGGCTTTAGCCGAGGGCCGATATGGGTCGAGGGATGATACCAGGGCCAATATGGAAAAGACATGTTATAATCTATTTATCACATATTTAAGTTCTGCAGAAAAGAGAAAAAAAGTTCAATTATAACAATTTAATGGAATATAACAGGTAAAATCTTAAAAATTTTATCACAAAAGTTTTATCACAATTTCAAATTTAGTTTTTATCATTTACTCCATAGAAATTTATTGTCACATTTCCACTTATTTTGGAATATGGCAATACACAATTGCGTAATTCTCCGGCACTTTTTAACCACTCCATTAGAATTTTAATGTCACTTTCAGTTTTTTTCCTTGTGTTAGCGTTTTTCATTTGTTCTACCAAGTCTGTCGTATCGCTTTCCTCCACTGCGATGAAACGAGCACCGTCATTGTTCGCCATTGTCGTTAAGGACGCAATGACGTTACGTCATTTGGAATCAGGGCACAATAACCAATAACCTCTTTTTTGCCCCGGGCAATTTTGAGGTTATTACATATGCAAAACCCAACGCATTCGTAACAAATATGTGATAAATTCTATATATTTCACAAGTAAAGTTTACGGTAAATATTGATTGGTATATTGTATACTTAAAGAAGAAGAACATGTACATGTATTCCTTAATTTAAATGATTTAAAAGTTTTTTTTGCGTGCCCAAAGTACTAGCAACTTGGCTGGTGATACTCTCTGGCACTTACAGTTCACTAACAGAGATTTCGACCCGGTAGAAGTTATAAGATTAACTGTACCAATGTTCCTGTGCTGCAACAGATGTGTATTTCGACAACTCATATTATGTCTCTTCGGTGATTCTCCAAGCCATACTAGTGAACCTTACACAAACATTACAGAGCTGATAAAACTATAGAGAACCTAAGGTAATCCAGAATGGAATCGGAGCTTTGCACGAAGGAGTTAATTCCATTATCTAAATGATTTCTCAACTTTTATATAAGCAATTAAAAAAAAGATATCCATATTTCAATGCTAGTAAATAATTAATGACTACTGTGCAAGTGATATACCCGGAGACTGATAGTCCACTAACAAAGGATTCGGCTCCATAGCCTGGTGGTAGTTATACCAATTGTTCTGCTCCAGATGCGCTTTCGAATTTAAATGCTGAACGTGAAAAAATGGAT